GCTGAAGCAAAAGTGGAGAAAGCCAAGAAGAAACAGGTTGATTTGAGAACTTCTCTAGTGACTCCTGCAGCTTCTTACCAAACTCTCTCCACTTTCTTTTCCTCCTGGGTATTAATTTTAAACTTTCAGGTAGTGGTGTAGCTCCCACCTTCTGCCCTTTCAGATACAGACTCTGCAAGCTGCTCACTAGTGGCTCCCACATCCTCTTTTCCTTCCCCCTCCTTTATAAAGGAGCGTCTCTGGGTTGGAAGGCTGGCTAGAGGATATTAGAAATGGCTTGCCACCAAAGACCCTCTTTCCATATGCCTTCAGTTACTCCAAGGGCCTGCAGTAGAATCCCTCTCTTATGGGATATAATCCTCCTCTCCAAGAGACCGTCCACAACCACTCAACAGCCTTTCAGGATGCTAATGCTCATGGCAAACACATAGAAGATTCTCCCTGTCCCCATGACTTCCCAACAACTGCCATGTGTCCATCACTGCTCTGAACTGGGGGTTGCAGAGTTTTATTTTAGAAGGGCTTGTTCTCTATTATTCCTTTTCTTGTTAGTTTTTGTTGACTTAGAAGAAGGGCAATATCCTGCTATTTTCAACACGAGTTTCTATAATCGACTACGTTTTAGGTAAATTTTTTGGATTGTTTAGGAATGGCTTGTGTTCACATAGTGTGAACTACAGTTAAACTTTGCAATGATCTGGTTAACTTGGTCAATGCAGACAGCCAAGATAAATTTGTGTTTAATAATTTATACTAATCAGATGAACCAAATCTCCTTTTCATTTTGTGCTATACAGAAGGCCTGCAAATAACATTCTACTGAGAGCATCTTCCTCTCAGGATACACCTGAGGAACTAGCCATGCCTGCCTGGTTTCAGATAAGATTCAACTTCTCTACATGATTCATGTGCAGTCTGACTGAAGGAGTAAATGTTTCTGAATACTAATCCCATTTGACAAGAACAGGCACAAATACTTGTTTTGCAGGGACTGACTCAGGGTCTATACTGCTCTTTCTTTATTTAAGTCCCTGTCTTGTGTCCTAGCTAGGTCCTGACTCTGTCACATATGTCAGAATTTCCATGCCTCTCACACTGCTTGGAATGGAGAAGAGGCCCAGCATCAGTCTATTACTATTGTCTATAATAAAGCAAAAGATGGATTTAAATAAGCAAATTTCTTCTGCCGTACTTCCAGTTTTGAAACATCTGGAGTAGTTTAAAAGCCTAATTTCTAAAAATCAAGCAACATAAATTAATAATTATACAAATTTTAATATATTTAAAAAAATTTTAAATACACTCTATTTGAAAATCTAAAAGACCCAAAGTCAAGTACTATTCTTAAATAAAATACCCTTCTAATTAGAGTGAATGCGTAAGATAGTAAAGATTTAAAAAGAAGAATCTATTTGTAAAAAAAAATACAACATATGCACGTGACAGTTTATGACATATTTATTTAAAGTTTGTAGATATTCTTGGAAAAGAGCTTAATGCCACTTTTATTACCTTTAATTCACTCATTTTTATGCTAGCTTAAATTTTAAGGCTTATGTGAGCCAACTTTAGTCCTTCAATGTTTAATAAAATGAAGAATGTACAAGACTAAATGTAGATTAGACTTAGGCATGAGGGCTAGAACTGAAATGCTCTATATATGAAAGAAGTCAAGAATCATTATGATTGACCTCATAGTACCCTAGGAAGGTCTACTCTTCTGAAACTGCTTATTTGAGTACAGAAAGTCATGACAGCAACAGTGAAAAGTAAAAAAATTTACTAGTTTCCTCACAGCTTAGTTTTTTTTGTTTGTTTGTTTTTGTTTTTTTTGCGGTATGTGGGCCTCTCACTGTCGTGGCCTCTCCCGTTGCGGAGCACAGGCTCCGGACGCGCAGGCTCAGTGGCCATGGCTCACGGGCCTAGCTGCTCCATGGCATGTGGGATCTTCCCAGATCGGGGCACGAACCCGTGTCCCCTGCATCAGCAAGCAGACTCTCAACCACTGTGCCACCAGGGAAGTCCCACAGTTAGTTTTTTTAAAGTGTCATCTTAATTTTCTGTTGGCCCTCATTTTTCACATTTATTTGGTTTACTACAAGACCTTATTTCATCCCCTCCTAAGCCATAGATAAAGTAATTCACTAATTGCATCAGCTACAGGATAATTTTACGTTTAGAACTTCAGAAATGTCCTCCCTTGGCTAATATAAACCATGTTTTAAAACCAATATTAAACTGCCTATCATCTACACAGCTGAAATTTATTTTTAACTCCACAAAAATTTTCAGTTACCCTATAAAAAAGATCACTATTATAAAAAAAAAAAGTATGGGCTTCCCTGGTGGCGCAGTCGTTGGGAGTCCACCTGCCGATGCAGGGCACATGGGTTCATGCCCCGGTCTGGGAGGATCCCGCATGCTGCGGGGCGGCTGGGCCCGTGAGCCATGGCCGCTGAGCCTGAGCGTCCGGAGCCTGTGCTCTGCGGGGGGAGGGGCCACAACAGTGAGAGGCCCGTGTACCGCAAAAAAAAAAAAAAGTATGACATGTGTGTATCATGTTTTATTATCTTATTTTGTTACGCCCTATTATCTTCCAAATTAATTTGGCAGAGTATTTGGGAAACAGTCTAGGAATTTAAAGGAAAAAATGAAATCACAGTAAGATGGAGTCTTAAAATAGCCTGAACTGAGGATTAGTGTTTAATTGAGAACTTTCTGACGATGCCATGATTTTGAAATAAAGCAGAACTTTTTCAACTTTTCCAGACCTTTTAGCAATGTGGCAAGTTTCATTTTGCTCCTGTAGCTGTATTAATCCATTATACTCTTGGGCAAATGGAGCCCAAAACTTATCTCTACTACATAAACAAATTCGAACAAATAAGCCTTCAGACATTACTCAATCCTGAAGGACATTTAGGAAGTTTGAGATCAGCTCACACACTTTTTGTAATTGTGTTCAGAAAAACTAGGCCTCTCTGACAAAATATCAAGGTAAAGAAGCCTAAGTACAAATATAGAAGATGAGGAGAGTCAATAATTTGCAATGTTTTGGTTGAAGTTGAGGGCTTTTCTCAACCTGGACTATTTCTACGAAACAGTGGTTTTTGGAAGTATTTTAATATCAATTCCATTAATTAATTCAAAAGATATTTACTGAGTATCTACTGCATGTTAGAATGCCTCAGAGACATTAATGAATAAAACAGATTTCTGCCCAAATGGAGCTTACATTCTATCTGGGGGACAGTAAAAGCAATAAAGACCATAAGCAAGTGCGTTAGAAGGTGATAAGTGCTAGAGAATAAACAAAAATTATTACTCTGGTAAATCTAGTCAGTATTAATCTAGTAGATCTATACAGCGTTTTATCTTTAATAGTAATCCATTAAATTACATAAATTATACAGTAATCTATATCTAATCTAAGAATTCTATGTAGTATGGTAAATACTATATACTATATAGTATAGTGTATCTTTTATAGAAAAAACTTGCTTTATCAGGAACTCTATAGAATCATACCGATAATCATATGAATGATTTAGAATGTTATTATCCATAGTAAACAACAGATTAAAAATGAAATTTAACCCAAACTTCATATTTGTTGTGGTTGGTACTAATCCAAGAGACAAAATACTCATGAAACCATTCTAAGTCCACAGCTGACAAAGCTTTTACATGCAAGTAAACATAAAGTTGTGAATCTGCTGGGTTATATGGTCATCTCTTGGGTATCCCAGTAGTTTTGATTTGAAAAGAGTTTAGATACAGATCATTTTTTAAACTACCTTTTATAAAACTACAAAACTCACACAAATCTTTGGAGGCCACTATTGGAGATACACTTACCAAATTACACAGAGCACTCAGATTTTATTATTCAGTGGATTGAGGTTATATACAGGCTCCCCACACTACAATTTTCATTTGGGTTTTAGGGCACTGGCCTGGTTTTCTGCAATATACCATTTACATGGGCTGGATAGGTAACCGCTCTACCTCTGACACTGGTTACTAACAACAGTTTGAAAGATTTCACACCTAACTTTGTACATGATTTAATTAGAACAAATAAACCTAACTCTCATGTCTTAAGTATGAGTAACATCATTTCTGTGAATAATACAAAAGTACTTTCCAGTTTCCTGTGATCCTACTACCATTTGAAAGCTCATTATGGCACTCTGTTCCAAGCTCTAAAAACGTGTTTAATCCATATGATGTCAGAGAAGTTGCCAAAAAAGGCTAAGAATCATGGTGGCTGAAAAGTAATTATCCAGTATTTAACAATTTCCGGCTATTTGGTTTAAAGTTGATGGTTGTAGCATCCTCAGGGCCCCAATCTAGCCCTGATATGTGTTTAGGAAGATTGCCTGGAGACAAGATTGTAACCAACTGGTTATAAGCTCAGAAATAACTACAGTCATGGATGGAGTTAATACTTTGTCTCTGAAGACACTATTAATAACAATACCGGACGGCTCACTTCTCCCTGTCACCTGGGTTCAGGTTCTCATATGTTGAATGAGATTGGAAAGACAGAAAAAATGTGTCACCTGGGTATTTACATATGCATAGTTTGAGGGACTGTAGCAGGGAGTGTGTAGCACCATCTGGATGAAGACATGGAATGGCTTATCCTCTGACTGTATTGAATAGTTTTAATTGTATTTTTAAAATTTTCCCCAGTTTTTCATACTTTCATATATCTCTTCTCCTTTTTTGTCAATTGAAAAATAATTATTTATTAGGTGGCTAGAAGATAAGCCATCTCTAGTCAGGCTTGCTGATGAGGCTCCCCTTGGAAACAGTATTGGGTTAAAGGTTCCCATCCACAGTGCCAGATTCTCCCAGCACACTGAAAGGAGCCCAGACACACGGGTGACTCTGTGCACACAGGCTGAAGGCTAACTCACCTTGGCAAGCTCCAGTGCGGATGTTGGGGATGAAGCCCCGCCGGCAGGGCTGAGGCTGGGCGGGACACATTTCACAGGGGTGGCCCCAGGCCCGTCCAATGGTGGCACAGCACAGAGTCTTTGTGCAGACAATGCCTGTCAGCTGCCCTTGGCACATCTGGTTGTTGACCTGAGTGAAACATGGGCCTGTCCTGTAATCTGGAATGTGAAAGAAGACAGAAAGACAGGTTTTATGATCACACACCAATCTTACACCAGGACCTCCAAATACATAAAACAGAGACTCGTCTGATGAAAACATCGCGCGACAAAAGCCCAATGTGTTTGATTTTGAAAATTCTTAATTTTTCAATATTGAGAAGTGCATTACAAGAATTCAATGTATTCTACCCTAGACACTGTAAATAGATGGCTCAAGGGTTGTGTCTGGGACACAGATGTGTTTTCTTGGCCGCCTAATGTTTTAAAAGAATTTAAATGAGTAGCCAACATTTTTAAATGGGGAAATTTCACATGAAATTTATATTTCTGGCTTTTCTTAAAAAGTTGGAAGTTCTGGCCATGCTAGGCCTGACATGTTGCATGGCAGTGGTGGAGTGAAGTGTGTCCCCTCTATGACAGCACCGCCACAGCCACCCAGCCCTCTCCACTCACTGGTGTGCGCCACCTGTGCCCTGATGGCACCTGCTTTAATGGCTCCTCTTTACCTAGAAAAATTTCTTCTTTGACTAGGCGGTCAAGAGTTCAGAAAATCAAAACAGAACCAATGAAGATATACCCTTCCATATCACATCTATATTTGGGCGGTCCAGATTGTCTATAATCATTTAGTTCTAACAATTGATTTCTGTTTCCTTGTCAGTGTGTTTAGTTCTATGTGTAGCTCATCTTGGAAGACAGTACTAATAAGGCCCATGGCCATGGATTCTTTCCAAGTTAATATTATATGATCTCTATTCTCTAGAAGATGATTGTACAATTGTCCAGCTCGGTTATGATGATGATAAAAACATTAGCAAATGTGTGTCACTTATGATCTACACACAGACTCTTCTATGAATATTAAGGACAGCTATTATGACCCTTGGGTCACAAAGTGGTTCATGGACCAGCAACATATGCATCATTCGGGAGCTGGTTAGAAATGCAGACTGAGGCCTCATACCAGACACACTAACTTAGAATATGCATTAACAAGATATTTAGGAGATCCATACACACCTTAAAGTTTAAGAAGGACTGATCCAGACTACAAGCAACTTGAAAGCTGGGCACTTCTATTATATCTCTCGTCCTGCTGTAATTTACTTAAATGACTCTTTAAGATGATCAGTATATGTATATTATTTTAAGCAGAACTGAATTATTAATGGATTTTTAATTTGTTGCTTGTGTTTTGAAAGACACAGAAAATCAGAGAAAGGTCAGTTTCCCGAAGACTGACCAATTAAATCATCAACATTTGTTATAAAATTACAACAGAAATATGTGAAAAAGTTTTTCCCCCATTTACAGAGATTTGTACGCATACAGTTTATTAACTCTTGGGAATGTAAGAAGATAGTCAGGATTTCCTGATAAGCCTTAATGCGAATGACATAATTCCATTTGAAGGGGAAAACCAGAACAAGTTTATTTCATATTTTTGTAAGAACAAAACAATGTTGCATTCCATGGAAGAACAGTCAATAATGTTGGTAAGATTTTTATGAAAAACTGTTACTGGGAAATATCAAACTTGGATATAATTTAACATTCAAAATGCTAAACAAGAACAACTTAGATATCACCTAAATGCTACAGTATGACAAAAATACACCTTAGAGCCACATAAAATTTCTGTTTCTTAATGAAGAGTGAGGCTTTGTCAGATACAAGAACATTTTAAAAGTTCAATATAAAGGGAAAAAAATCTAAAATAGGTAACTTTTTTAGCAAGCTGGCTTAACATTCTGTTACTCTGCAGCTGAACTTCAACAAAAATAGCTCATTTTAATCCATTACACAAGAACAGATGTGCTGGCTGCAAATCACGTTTTTGAAGAAGACAGTCTTTGTATTATACATGTAGATATGTCAACCTTGTAAAGAAGCATGCTTCCCATACCACAAATTGCCAGGTCATAAATTTTTTAAACCTACTCTATTGTCCTTCAGGCAACACGTTATTTTGCCATTTTAAATAAATATTAGACTTATGATAAACTGTATCACGTTCTGAACAAGTAGGAAAAAGCCTACTTTTCACCAAGTCTCTTTTTCTGTTTTTTTTTTCATAGATTCATGCATATATACCTACGTTCACATTCTGTACCCTTTTAGGATTCCCAGAGAGAAGCCTGCATAGCCTCTCTCATAATCTCATTCTTAAGTAAACCAGTTTGTCAGGAAATGCCTTCCTTCTAACTACAGCACCTTCTTAAAATTATGTCCTCTTAGTCTGATCTTCTTGGAGAAGAGGACTATCTTGACAAGGATAGCTGTTTGTCCCTGCAAACGACCTTGCATGTTAAAGGCCCTAATTAAGCCAACCCCAGACTCCCCTTCCTGGGAACAGTTTACCATTCCTTATTTCTTCTGCCTGTATTTCCTTTCGTTAAGACTGTGCTTCAGAATCTATTTTCTTACATGGTTACACTTTGCTTTCTGGTTGGCAAGTAATTACCTTAAAATTTAAACTTACAATGTAACCTATTTATTCCAGAATTACTCACATGTAAAATGTGAACAAATATTAGATACTGAAAAGAGATTTAAATTTCCTGATCAGATTAAAAAACGTTCTGTCCCAGACGTTACTAGCATTTTAATTATGGTCAAAGAGTATTAGGAGACCTTAATTAAATGTTATGATTGGCCATACACTCATCAAGTTTTCACTTCAGGTAAAATATTATTGTATACCATGCTAACCATTCATAGGTAAGGACATACTTGCAGTGCGTTAACAAAGGATAAAAGGAGTGAACTGCTTAACACTTGGTATGCTGGAACCAGTGGGTTGGAAACAGGTATTTTCCTCATTACTATATGACCAAGAAAATTTTGTTAAAAATTATCCTGTGAAACACAAATATTGCTATTTTGATTTTCAAATATCTAACTGCAATACAGCATATTAATTGGTTTTATATAATTTCACTTTTATTCACATTAAGCAATTGGTACAATTAGCAAACTCATCAAAAACTTAAATTCATTAAGGTATAACTTATACATCATATAGTCATCTGTTTTAAATGTACAATTCAATGATTTTTCATAAATTTTATTGAATTGTGCAACCATCACCACAATCCAACTTTAGGACATTTGCATCACCCCAGAAAGATTCCTTGTGCTCATTCCCAGCCCCCATTAACCACTAATATTTCTGTCACTATAAATCTGCCTTTTCTGGACAATTTCAGAGAAATGGAATCATATGATATGTGATCTTTCTTGTCTGGCTTCTTTTGGTTAGCATAACGTTCTTGAGGATCATCCATGCTATGGCATGGGTCAGTACTTCAATCCTTTTTACTGCTGAATAATATTCCACTATATGGATATACCACATCTGATAACCAACCAGTGGCCTTTTGCTGGGCCATATAGTGAGCACATGTTTAACTTTTAAAGAAACTGTCAAACTGTTTTCCAAAATGACTTCATGGTTTTATATTCCTACCAGTAATGAGTGAGAGTTCCAATTCCTCCACATCCGTGCTAATATTTTCTAGTTTCTATCTTTATTATTATAGCCTATGTTGCCATTTTACTTTAAATAAATACAACTGAATATAGTTGGGAATTTTGCTATATTTCACAAGTCCTCTTAATAGAACTAGAGATGCTAAACAGTGATAGCTAACCAAAGATGAGCATTATTGTCATATGGACAACCAGACAACCTTTGCAGAGCTTTCCAGAAGGTAAAGACAGAAACAGGTCTGCTGGGGATTTTGTATTGAGGGAGAAATTTTTTTTTTATTTATTCATTTATTTTTTTGCTTATTTATTCTTTTTGTTTTGTTTCGTGGAAGAGACGAGGATTACTAAAAGTCAATGGGAATGACCTAGTTGAAAGGGAGGGTTTCTGATTACCATAGAGAATAATAATTTCTAATATAAGACCCCTAAGGAGTCAGGCTGAGAGTGAAACCAGAATTTGTATGGAGTCATCCTTAGACAGGAGAAGAAAAGTACTGTTCTTGTAACCAGAGGGAGGAATGGCAGGCTGCACAGAGATGTAGGCATGTTTATATAGTAGAGGAAAATGAGCAATGTCCTCTCGGATACCTTCTCTTTTCTTTGTAAAACAGGAGGTGGGACAGTAGGTCTTTGGCAGAGGTTGGCTGGGGTGTCAGATCTTGGAGGCTAACTGAGATGGACACTGCAGATACCAAGAGAGGGAGCTGACCTGAGAATCCAGCAGATTCCCAGGTGACAACAGCACCTCTCTATGGTGGAAGAATAAGATGAACTTATAATGGGACCCATCTGTCTGTTTTGTGACTTTTTCCAACAGCTCTAGGCAGCTGAGAAGCTCCCTCAGAGATAAGGGTTCATCTAGGATTAGGGTTTTGTCTGTCAGAGAAGAAAAAAATTCAGAATGGCAAGGGGGTGTAAGGTGTTGCTAGACATATTTTGAAATTATAGACTATGGAATCTAAGCTGGATGAGCTGGGAAATGAAAAAAAGGAATGGACTTACAGATTAAGAAGTGGGAGAAAGCAGTAAGATCAATAGACTAGGTGTCCCCAAGAAGCCCCACATGAGGCGGGAAATTAGTCACAGTGATAGCAATACATCAGCTGTCCATGTGGCTGTAGTAGTATTTATTTAACTGTCCGCAGAATGCAGTTAAGGTTCACAACTGTACAGATGTACACTCCATAATTTAGGAAAGCTACCCACAACTACTGTAATGTAAATGACATCCCCTGGAGTTGTGCAGTCAAATAATGCCATAAAGATATCCAAAATTCCATTCATCCCCACTTTAGTACACAAATAATTGCCTGATCCCAGAAGGCGTATGAAAATATGTGAGATTTCCCATCAAGCTGCACAGTCTTTAGACTTAAGCAAGAAGGCATTTCCATTCTTTCCATTCTCAGGAACCAAAGAAATGCAACATGCAATCAAGTGATCGTCTTGTGTGGGAGCTGCAGACATGAGTGAGTACAATGAAGAACTATGGAATGTGTATAATC